CCATTTTGCTAACTGCTGGTCCTGAAAAAAATTTTTTTTTAAAAGAGTTTTTTTTTTTTTTTTTTTTTTAACTATAAGGCTCTTGTGCAGTCACCAGAGGGATAGACAGAGACAGAAGGACAAAGCACAAAATCAACCCCCCCCCTGCTTTCCCCCAGGGAGGATGGCCATCCTACAATCTCTTCTTCTCCGTTCTTCTCTTGGGATTTTGGGCACACAGGCACATGCGCCCGGCATGAGTGTAAGCCACCGGGTCCGGGACTTGAACCATAGTCGACTCCTTTGGAATCCAGCAATGTAACCATCACGCGGTCTGCTGGTCCATAAGAAAGAATTGTACGCGGTCTGCTGGTCCATAAGAAAATTGTAACTCTAATAACAAGCTGTTAATGATGGTAGAAAATACTTGCTGCTTAAAAGGAGTAAGTCTGATAGTATGGGGTATCGAGATATCTGAGGGAGAGCACTTTTTTCACAGTCATTGTCATACTAGACTTGTGTAATCCTCAGTCACCTACGTCTGATTTATTGTGCCATGAATTTGTAATGAAAACTTCAAGTGGGTTTCCTTTTTCTTTAAACTTCACCCACACTGTTTTCAGATTATCAGGAAAAACTTTGCATTCTAGTCATTCTCAATGTTCTGAACAGAGGGTTAAAATAAGTGACAGATGGGGCCCGCAGGTGGCATAGTGGTTAAGGCGCTAGACTCCCACATGGTGATCACAGTTTGAGTACCTGGTGGCTTGAAAATTATACTGGGTGCATGTGCATGCATGCCCAAGATCCCAGGAGGAGAATGGAGAAGGGAGTGAGTTGTGGCCATAACTCCTCCCCTCCCACCCCCTCCACCCCCCGGGGAGGAGTGGTGATATCTCGCTTTCCCTCTCACTGTCACTGTCTCTCTGGTGAGTGCACATACCGTATAGCAAAAATCTCTTTTTCAAAAAAAAACCAAAAAGGCCTAGTCACACGGCAGTCCTTTTTCTGAGCCCACACATGTATGTCCAAAAGTGTTTTTCTTTTTTCCCCCTTCAGGTTTTTGTCACAGGGCACATATGCTTGCAGGAGAGAGACAGAGACAGTGAGAGGGAAAAGTGAGAAAACACCCCTCAGAAGGAATGGCCATACCACACTCCCTTCTCCTCCATTCTCTTCTTGGGATTTTGGGCACACACACATACATACCTGGCATGATTTTCAAGCTGCCGGGTCCAGGATGTGAACCGTGACCAGCGCATTAATCACCATGCCACCTGCTGCTCCTAACCCTAACCTTGACCCTCTCCCCCAACCTGAGTGCTGAGTGCTGAGGATGAGACTTGAACTCTGTCAGGTCACATGGAATCTGGATTCTGAATAGCTATGCCAGGTATTAAAATGCAATGAAACTCTATAGACTTTATCATGAAAATCTGGTGTGGTGATACCTATTTGTTGCCCCAAAATAAACTCATACTTTAATTCCGTTTTCTCCACCAACTTTGTGAAATCCCCATGTACTTTTCAAAAGGGCTTGTGATGTCATTTGTTTCCACTGACTTTTAGAAATTAGATTCCTGTGTCAGTCTTTCATGGTATGTATGGAAGGATAGTTCTGTTCGTTTACTCTGACACTGGATCGTTTCATTTCTTTTAAAAGTTAACACGATACGGGGGACCAGCAGTTAGCATAATGGCTATGTCGCTGGACTCCCATGTAGTCAACTGTGGTTCGCATCCTGGACCTGGTGGCTTAAAACTCACGCCGGGCGCGTGTGCGTGCGTGCCCAAGATCCTGAGAGGATAGTGGAGGAGAAGGGATTGCGGCA